AGCATTTCGGGGCATTACATGTAGCGCGACTCACCATATTCCGGACATTAATCCAAACTTTCATACTCTTTCGAGTATAATATGAAATCATTATGGCATGAATTTATTTTTATATACTTCAAACCCATTGGAAACAATATCTTTTCGGCCTCATAATAGTGATCCAACAAATTGTTATCTTCTGGTAGAATTTGTTTCAGCAACTCAAGCAATATCATGAAACTTTTATCCATCCACCAACTTTTGCCTTCAAATTAAATAATTTTAACACTGTAGACAATCGTGTAAAATTTATGCACACCTTGTATAAAGGTGCCTCCTTATCACTACCTAAAGTATTATAAATATGAGCTTTCTAAAAGAAGACTCTGTAATATTACAAATCATATATTCTAATCGATCATCCATATCTTCATCAACCTCATGTCTTTCTGACTTCGCATTTTGATTTATATCCACTTCACCATGCCATATAGTGCATAATTTTGACAAATTCCACCACAACAAAGGTGTCTGGAAATTTTTTTGATATTCCTGCATACAAGACAAGGGCAATAAAAGAGTTCTTTATTTTTAGGAAGATTTTGTTCCACGTATTCAAGGAATTCAATAAATTCTTCCTCATACATTGTACCTAATCTATCTACTTTCATTCAACTGCAATCCACAATAAATTCTTAATTTATATCTAAAACTTGTAGTATCATATAACAATAAAACAACCCAATAAGTTATAAAACAATATTCATCTTCATATAATTAAATCACAACAATATATAACATTTCAACAACATAAAATCAATAATATTACTCAATCACAACAACACAAATGGCACACTAATGCTATAGACATTCTCATAGAATATTATTTTTATAAAACAACATTTTCACATAAGGACAACCTACATTCACACAATATTGCAGAGATTCATACACGCCTTACATAGGAATATGGTTTTCTAATCAGTTTTTATTCACATCAATATAACATTTAACAACACCAAAACCTAAAACTCAACATGAATGGTGATAAAGGTGATGAAATAGATAATTTATCATAAATTGAAGAGTGGGTTGTGACCAAGAAGTCTTCGTGTAAAATATTTGTGTACCTGAAGGAATTTGCGAAAACTCAACCTTCGTGCGTGTGCGACAAAAGTAAGCTGAAGAACATGAATGGTGATAAAGGTTGGAAATTTCGTTATCGCTTTCGTTTGTGTTATTTGCTAGGGAACTTGTTTTTTAAAGGAAATAAACTAAATTTGATATGATATAATTTTAAAGAAACACATTTCACCACGGTTGAAAATATTAATTGTAGTAAAACATATTAATTTTACGTGACATATAGCCATTGGTGACAAATAAAAATGTGGTGAAATTATTTTTAATTTTTATATAAATATAGATATTAATGGACACACTCTTTGTTGTATAGAAAAAATAGAAAAATGTTGGAGTTTGGATTCTAAGCTTGTAAGCATTAAATATAACCACAATTGTTATTACACACCGTTGTGATATATCTTGTAATAAAATAAAGGCGCCTAAAAGAGGTCTATTACTTCTGTTGATTGATTAACTGAGGCAAAAAGAAACATGTTACAGTAGGTATATTATGAAGTAGTGAGACGAAGCATCACTCTTAGAATCATTCATTATGAAAATAGGGAAATTACTCATCTTGACCAGAAAATAGAAAATGATAAAGGTAAAAGCTTGAGTTGAGAAGGGTACTTGGTTATGTGAAGTTGATGAAGCAAAGGAATGAACAAAGGCAATCGTTTTGATTAAAGAGATACAATCATTGATAAGTTCTTTTAGGAAGGGAGAAATAAGGTGTTAGCTAATAAGAGTTCTTAAGAAGGAACTTAAATGCCAGGGATTGTGAAACTTTTCCTCATTTTTTAACTACCCCTATATATAGACAAAAATGATTGAATGATCCGGATCAGTGATAAAAATGAGTAATATCTGCAAGCAAAGCAACATAGAAGAAAATTCATAAATGGTCCAAACCGGAGAACCAAGAATCACCTTGAGGTGGTGTAATCGGATGTGTGTGGGCCTATGCAAGTAGATTCCATTGGTGGCAATAGATGTTTTACCACTTTTATAAATGATCATAGTAGAAAGATATGAACATACCTTATAAAGAGAAAGGATGAGGTATTTGAAGTGTTCAAGAAGTTCAAGTCCATGGTAGAGAGGCAAAGTGGTCACAAGCTTAAAGTGCTCAAAACAGATGGTGGAGGAGAATATGTCTCAAATGACTTTGGGAGGTTTTATGATCAAGAAGGTATTGTACATGAGGTAGTACCACCCTATACACCAGAACAAAATGGTGTAGCCGAAAGAAAGAATTAATAGTTAATGGACATGGTGAAAAGCATTTTAAAGGGGAAGAATTTGCTGAAGGAGTTACGGGGGGAAGCGGTATCTATAAGTACCTATTTGTTGAATAAGTGCCCTACAAAGAAGGTAGGAAATGTAACACTGGAGGAAGCATGGTCGGGGTTCAAGCCAAATCTAAATCATTTGAGAGTATTTGGTTCCATTGCATACCAACATGTTTCGGGTCAATTTAGAAAGAAGTTGTATGATAAGGATGAGGTGATGGTACTTGTTGGATATCACTCTATCAGTGATTACAAACTGTTTGATGTTGTAAACAGAAGGATCTTAATAAGCCGGGATGTCTTAATCAAAGAAATGAAGCACCTGCAGCAGGGCGTAACCATTTACCAGAATCCTATAACCTGTTACATGCAGACGATAACCGGTTACTAGAATCTTGTAACCAGTTACAGGTACAAAATTTTAGATTATGATGTAGAAAGAAGTACAGAACAAAAAGTCATCGAAGCCTGGAATGAAGGAAATGTCAGGAGGTCAACAAGGCAAAGGGATTTGCCTCAAAGACTCCAAAATTGTGAGTTTTTTCATGACAATGAGGTCAATGATGATGGTGATTTCGTCCACGTTGCACTTATGGCCGAATCTAAACCTACCAATACGAAAGATGCTTTAAGTGATCCAAAGTGGATTTGTGCTATGAAATAGGAGATGAAATTTATTGAGAAAAACAATACTTGGGAGCTAGTTGATCTACCAAAAGGGAAGAAGGCAATTGGTGTGAAGTAGGTGTTCAAAGTGAAGGAAAATCCCAATGGTGAGAGAATAAAAAATAAGGCTTGATTAGTGGCTAAGGGATTTTTGTAAAATGAAGGCATATACTTTGAGGAGGTTCTCGCACCGGTTGCTAGAATCAAAACCATTAGACTTGTTGTTGGTATTGCAAATAACCACAATTGTCCTATCTATGAAATGGATGTCAAAATCACGTTTTTGAATGGACCACATGTAAAAGAGGTGTATGTAGGATATCCCACTGGTTTTGTTGTGAAAGACCAAGAGCTGAAGTTCTACAAGACGAAAAAAATGATATATGGTTTGAAGCAAGCTCTAAGAGTGTATTCTGGGAGGTCCTATTTCTTGGTGTTCCAAGAAGTAACCAGTTATTGCTTTACCAACCTGTGAAGTTGAATACATTGCAGGTGTTGTGGCTACATGTCAAGTTGTTTGGCTTTTGAATTTAATGCATGATCTCAAGATCAAGGTAAACAACCCTCTGAAGCTGATGATTGATAACAACTATGCAATTAATCTTGCCTAGAACCCAGTGTTGCATGGGAGAAGCAAGCATATTGAGACGAAGTATCATTTTCTGAGAAGTCAAGTCTAGAATGGAGTGTTAGAAGTTGTGCACTGTAGCACTCAGAAGTAACAAGCAGATGTACTGACGAAGGTGATCAAGACTGACTAATTTCTTCACTTGAGGGATGAAATCAGTGTTGTTAGTTTTGATTAGTTAAATTCTGAAGTAAGGGATGATGTTGAAGGATATAATATTTTAGTATTTAGCCTACATGTCACTTTTGTTTGTTTAGCCATTAAGTAATGTAATAGGAACACGTTGTATATATAGTATTGTAGTTGTCAACAGTTGTATCCATTGAGTATTGTAGTGCAGTGTGTGCAACTATTTTACTATAATCGTATTAGCATAGTAGTGAAAGTTTGTTAGAATTTGTTATTCTCTCTCTTCCTCATCTTCATGTTTTTCACCTTGTGCACCAACATCCTCTTATATATATAAAAAAAAACATAGAACAAACATTAATCCATCTAACATTCAAAAACCTCTAGTTCGATGAATTTTTTTGGTTCGTGCCACTTTCTATGTACCAATTACATTTTGATCAAATAGTTATATTAGATCGATTATTTCTCAGATTCTCAACTAAATTGGTTCAACCATCCAATCCAACCTAATTTTGAAAATGAATTTAATTCTTATCAGATTCATAAACAAAAATTTGTTAATTTTTTATTAATCAAATAGTCTAATAATTACAATTTTATCTTTTTAAAGATACATGTAAATCTTAGATGTTGCAACTCAGACACTCAGATATTTATTTAAAAAATAAAAATAGATGACTTTTAAGGTGAAACTCTACTTGAGATAGGTGTAATAAAAACATTCATATTTTTCTTTTGTTAGAAATGTCCAATATTATAATGCAGAGTAGACAAACACATGAGACATACGATGACATGTTGACTTGCGTATCACAATCCACATACTATCGCGCGACGCACGTATATATTATACTGCACTTAAATACAAAATTTAGTATTTCATTCTATATGTAACTGAAGTTGAAACTACTATAGAGCCATGCACTTGTTGAAATGTTGATAAAGTATTCACATACGTTAGCATGATGGATATTCCATTTCCATTGCATGACTCCAACTTTTTCAACTGACATGAAAATGAGTCAATATCATGACATACGCAAATATGTTAAGGTTTTTAACGTTAACTTTTCGCGTATCTAGCACCTTCTTTTCTAGTTTCTTATTTACTATAAATATATACAGTACATGCTTAATCTTCATTCAAAACACTAATCAACACGAAATCTTGCACCATGCTTTCATTACAATCATCATCATCGCTACTTAATCGAGCATCGTCCTCTCCTTGTCTATCATTCAATCGAATCAAATGCGGTATCAATTTACCAAAATTATCAAGAATTTCCTTATTCTCAGTTCAAAAAGCATTTAATAGATGTATTGTAATAAAGGAAAAAACCTCAACAATATTGCAAAAGAATATTGGAAGCATAAATGAAGATGATAATGTTGATGAAAATTTATACAATTTTACAAACTCTAATATTGCTACTATTAAACTCTATGCAATCTTAGAAGCAGTACGTGACAGAATTGAAATGCATAACAACATAGGACAACAACGTGACAATTGGAACATTCTTTTATTAAACTCAATCAACATGATAACACTCACTGCTTCAACCATGTCTGCTATTGCATCTTGCTCTGAATCTGATGATAAACCTCTTTTGGCTTTGAAACTATCTTCTTCTCTGTTGTTCTCTTTCGCCACCGGAATGTTACTTGTCATGAACAAAATCCAACCTTCACAACTTGCAGAAGAACAACGGAACGCTACAAGACTCTTTAAACAGCTTCATTCACAAATCCAAACAAAAATCTCACTTGGTAATAGTAATCATACTGAAGGTGATGTAAGTGATGCAATTGAGAAAGTTTTGGCTATTGATAAAGCTTATCCACTTCCTTTGTTGGGAGGAAAAATGATAGAGAAATTTCCATCCAAATTTAAAGCTTCTTGTTGGTGGCCATGTCATAGGAAAATAACTAGAGTGAATTGCAATAAGATAGAGAGTAATATTAATGGGTGGGATTTGGAGTTGGAGAATTTGATGAAGGAGATTATTGAAGTGGTGAAGAGAAAAGATATTGAAGATTATGAGAGATTGGGAAATATGGCATTAAAGATTAACAAGAGTTTATCTATTTTAGGACCTTTGTTAACAGGAAGTGCTGCCATAGGGTGTTTCTTTGTAGGTGGTGATGGAATGCTGGTGAATTTCATTCCTGTTTTTGGTGGCGGTTTGGCTACTGTTGTCAACAGTTTTGAGCATGGAGGACAAGTTGGTATGGTGTTTGAAATGTATAGAAACTGTGGTGGATATTTTGAGCTTTTGGAAGAGATGGTGGAAGAAACTATTGAAGAGAGAGATTTGAATAAGAGAGAAAATGGAGAGGTGTTCGAAATGAAAATGGCTTTGTCTTTGGGAAGAAGTGTAATAGAGATGAGAGAACTTGCCTCAAAATCTGCTTCATGTCGTGTTGAAGAATGTGAGATAGATGAATTTGCCAACAAACTCTTCTGAAATCAACATTTTTTTATTTCGATTTTCTTGTTACTGTGGAAAAAAAAGAGCGTTGTTGTTAATTGACCGTCGTCATGTACAGTGAATAAATAATAAATATATACTTAACAATTTTTATTTCAAAATTAAAGAACAATTAAATTATTGACTAGGTACTACTTGTTTTGAACCAAGAAAAATTCGTTGATGTTTGGTTAATTGAATACTATAATAAATATATGATTAACAATGTTTGGGTATAAGTATTTGGTATAACATTTGTGTTGGAAATAAGACCTTTTGTGTTTAAGAAAAATGTGTGGGAATATTAGAGGCTTAAAGAGAAACTTGGTAGGTGGAAGAATTATTTATGGAAGAGAGAACTTTGTATTTTGCTTGATGCAAAAGTGTAGAATTACATCTCTATTTATAGTACTCTAAGGAGAACTCTAGACACACTAATTCTAGAGAGTTCTCAACTCTAGAAATTCCAAGAGTACTCTAGAAAGTATTACAACCCTAAGAAATATCTAGACACTCCAAACATTACAAGAGTATTCTAGAAACATTAATTAAAATTACTTAAGTCCAAAACAACTAAGCCCAAAAATCCAAATAATATTTTTAGGCCCAAATCAAGTTTAGTTTTATTTTCAACATCCCCCCTTAAACTTGATTTGTGACTCCAAGCATACTCCTTAGCTTTATGAAAGTTTCCAATTTTAGTGGTTTGGTGAAAATGTCGGCAGCTTGATCTCGAGACATCACATACTTCAACTTCACATCCTTCTTCTCGATGCATTCTCTTATAAAGTGGTAACGTGTGTCGATGTGTTTACTTCTTTCATGAAATACAGGATTCTTTGCCAAAGCAAGTGCTGATTTATTGTCAACACATATTTCCATAGGATCTTCTTGTGGCATTTTTAACTCTTTCAACAAGTTCCTTAGCCAAACTGCATGGCAAACACATGATGTAGCGGCAACATATTCAGCTTCACAAGTTGACAGTGTGACGATAGGTTGTTTCTTTGACATCCAAGTGAAAGCAGTATCTCCCATAAAGAATACAAAACCAGTAGTGCTCTTTCTATCGTCCACGTCTCCACTCCAATCGCTATCACTATAGCCAACAATTTCATGATTGTTAGAAGAGTAATAGTGTAAGCCAAAGTTTGTTGTACCTTTGATATATCGAAGGATTCTCTTTGCCGCCTTGAAGTGAGTTGTTGTTGGAGCTTCCATGTAACGACTTACAACTCCTACAGCATAGAGAATATCCGGCCTTGTACTTGTCAAGTAACGCAGACTTCCAACCAAACTTTTGTAAAGAGTTGGATCCACAATCTCTCCATTTTCATGCTTACTCAACTTGCTGCCACATTCCATCGGGGTGCCAACCGGATTCGCATCATCCATCTTGAACTTCTTAAGGACTTCTTTTGCATAGCCTTCTTGGGTGATAAAAATTCCTTTGCCTTCTTGCTTTACTTCAATGCCAAGATAATATGCCATGAGCCCCATATCTGTCATCTCAAATTCATTTGACATGTCTTTCTTGAACTCTTCGAACATGCTTAGATTGTTGCCAGTGAAGATCAAGTCATCAACATATAAGCACACAATCAAAATATCTCCACTTTGCGCTTTAATATAGAGTGCATGCTCATATGGACACTTGATGAAGTTCTTATCTCGAAAGTACTTGTCGATTCGAACATTCCAAGCTCTCGGTGCTTGCTTGAGTCCGTACAACGCCTTTTTCAACTTGAGGACTTTTTCTGCTTGCCCTTTTACTTCATATCCTTGTGGTTGCTCAATATAAACTTCTTCTTCGAGAAAACCATTCAAAAAGGCCGACTTCACATCCATTTGATAGATCTTCCATTCATTTTGGGCTGCCAAAGAAATGATTAGTCTAATAGTTTCAAGACGAGCAACGGGGGCAAATACCTCATCATAGTCAATTCCTTGTCTTTGACTATAGCCTTTTGCCACCAGTCTTGCTTTGTATCTCTCCACGTCTCCTTTTGCATTCTTCTTTGCCTTGTACACCCATCTTACTCCGATTGCTTTGTGTCCTCGTGGAAGTGTAGTAATTTCCCACGTATCATTCTTCGTGATTGACTTTATTTCTTCATCCATGGCGTCTCTCCACTTTACATTTTCAACAGCTTCTTGATAGCTTAGAGGTTCGCAATCACCAAAAAGACAAAAGAGGTTAATGTCATTTTGGTTTTCGGTTACCTCATAAAGCTCTTCAATGCTCCTTAATCGTGGTGTCCTCTCACTTGAGCTTGTTTCATCCAACCTTGGTGTCGGTGAGGCAGGTGGTGTAATATGTTCATCTATCATTGGTTGTTCCATTTCATCATCTTCTTCTTCAAAATTAGGAAGAAAATCATACCTGTCTTCTTGAACATTCCAACCCCAATAATCTTCTTCTTCGAACTCCACATCACGACTTATGACAATCTTTCCGCTATTTGGATTATAGAGCTTGTACCCTTTGGAGCTTGAGTCATAACCCACGAATACATACTTCTCACTTTTATCATCGAGCTTTGTTCTCCTTTCATCTGGAACGTGGGTATATGCAATGCTTCCAAACACTTTGAGGTGAGAGATACCTGACTTTCTTCCACTCCATGCTTCTTGTGGTGTCTTCTCATGCACACTTCTTGTTGGGGAACGGTTTGTCAGGTAAACCGCACATGCCACTGCTTCGGCCCAAAACTCTTTCGGCATCTTCTTACTCTTAAGCATGCTTCGCACCATATTAAGTATGGTCCGATTCTTTCTCTCCACTACTCCATTTTGTTGTGGCGATCTTGGCACTGTTAGTAAGCGGCGGATCCCATGCTCTTCACAATATTTGTTGAACTCATTTGAAGTAAACTCTCCTCCTCGGTCAGATCTCATAGCCTTAATAGAAAGACCACTTTCTTTCTCCACAAGGGCTTTGAACTTTTTAAAGTTTTCAAACACTTCTGACTTCTCTTTCAGGAAATAAACCCATGTTTTTCTAGAATAATCATCAATAAATAGGAGAAAGTATTTATTCTTACCAAAAGAGTTTGGATTGATTGGTCCACAGACATCAGTGTGTATGAGCTCTAGTGGTTTTGTAGCTCTTGATGTTGATTCCTTTGGAAAGCTTTTTCGGAATTGTTTCCCAATTAGACATCCTTCACATAATTGGTCTGGATGGTTTATACTAGGCAAGCCTCTCACCATCTCCTTCTTTGACAAACATTCTAGACTACCGAAGTTGAGGTGTCCAAATCGTAGATGCCATAGCCATGAAGAGTCCGTATAGCAAGCCTTGAGACACTTTGCCACATCATTTTGAATGTTCAAGAGGAACATTCTATTCTTTGACATAGGCACCTTAGCAATCAAGTTATGCCCACAATCTCTTAAGAAAAGACTATGTTCTTTCAAGTGGATGTCATATCCTTTCTCCAATAATTGTCCCAAGCTCAAAATATTATTTTTCATGTTAGGAACATAGTAGACGTTGGATATGAATTGATGACTCCCATTCTTTAAGCGTATGAGAATTTTACCTTTGCCTTTGACCGGTATCTTTGAGTCATCTCCAAATGAGACATTTCCAGTTGTCGCTTCATTGATCTCTATGAACATGCTTCGATCGCCGCACATGTGGTTGCTTGCGCCGGTGTCGAGGTACCACTTGTTTCTTTTCTCTTCAAATTGGTTTTGGCACGCGAGCAGCAAAGTTTCTTCTTCTCCACCTTTTTCTTCTACAAAATTAGCTCTCTCCACCACCTTCTTTGAGAATTTACACTCAGATGCATAGTGACCAATTTTGTTGCAATTGAAACACTTGATTTGTAGCTTGTTGCATCTTGACCATGAATTTCCATTTCCACGACCTCTTGTTGCTTGTGGATTCCAACTTCTTTCTCCATTGTTGAAGTTGTTGGAGTAGTTGTTGTAACTACCTCTTCTTTCTCCTTCATGTCCTCGTCCACGGCCACGTCCACGACCTTGGCCACGACCTCGTCCTCTTTGACTGTTGTAATTTGCATAGTTTGCTTCTTTTGCATTGAGTTGTAGTAGTTGCTCCATATTTTCCTTTTGTTTGATTTTTCTCTTTTGTTTTTCTTCGTATGCTTGTAAGGAACCCATAAGTTGCTCAATAGTCATGGTGTTTAAATCCTTATTTTCTTCAATGTTGGTAACAATGAAGTCAAAACTTGGATTTAAAGTGCGAAGTATTTTCTCCATGACTTTCACCTCATCAACATCTTCACCATTTCTTGTAAGTTGATTGACTACGGACAATACTCGAGAAAAATAATCAGAAATTGACTCAGACTCTTCCATAAATAAACGTTCAAACTCACCTCTAAGAGTTTGAAGACGAATCTTTTTCACCTGTTCCACTCCTTTGTTGCAAGTTTGAAGCTTGTCCCATGCTTCTTTCGCCGTCGTTGCATTGGAGATCTTCTCAAATGTATCTTCATCCACCGATTGATAAATGAGGAAGAGAGCTTTCTTGTCTCTCTTTCTTGACTCCTTTAATGTATCCTTTACACCTTGGCTTAAGGAGGCTTCATCTTGCTCCTTGAAGCCTTTCTCAACAATATCCCACACATCTTGAGCTCCTAGTAGCGCCTTCATCTTGATACTCCAATTGTCACAGTTGTTCTTTGTGAGTATCGGAATTTGAAAAGGGAAACCTCCATTCGCCATCTTTTGAGGACCTTCAAGCTCTGATGCCACTTTGTTGGAAATAAGACCTTTTGTGTTTAGGAAAAATGTGTGGGAATATTAGAGGCTTAAAGAGAAACTTGGTAGGTGGAAGAATTATTTATGGAAGAGAGAACTTTGTATTTTGCTTGATGCAAAAGTGTAGAATTACATCTCTATTTATAGTACTCTAAGGAGAACTCTAGACACACTAATTCTAGAGAGTTCTCAACTCTAAAAATTCCAAGAGTACTCTAGAAAGTATTACAACCCTAAGAAATATCTAGACACTCCAAACATTA